TCAAACATATTTACATGCTTAACAGTAATCTTGAATATTACACTTAAGACGGAGTGGATAATTTTGTATTTGTTATTATTTTCAATATTCTATGATACTTATCCACCATGTGACGGACAGGTTGTCTTTTAGGATTGAATCATCGGAATTGCAGCCACCGTTTATCTCTGCGTGATCGTATGAGGCGACTTAACAATGTTTGAATGTTACATTTTAATTTTTATTTCGCTATTTTTTTTATTTTCTACATGTATCAAATATCCGAAATCTGGCAGATTACGCACTCTATTGTCAGTTTCTTACCCCCTGAATTTGTGAAATGCACTTTTCAAGATTCCATGTTTTAGAACTCTATCAATCTTGGAATATGAAGATAAATAGAAATTTCTAAAGTTCGTTAGCCATAAGTACAATGCTGGCACCGTCTGCAAGGATGTTCAGCCTGGCATACATGTGCATCTGTATTTAATTTAGTTAAATTATTTCGATTCCAGTACTGTAAAGATGCAGTGATATTAACAGTTGCAATATTTAACAATTGCTTTTGATCTTAGAAGCTCTATGATAATATACAGTTATCAATCTGTCTATATGTCTGTGTAACTGTCGAATATGCCTTTAAAGTTTCATGTGTTATATTTTCTAAACATGGAAAAGTTATCAATGCGATAGGTACGTGCATCGAAGAAACACTTTTATTTACATACAGTTTACGTAATTTCAGATCAGACGGAGTCCATCAATTCAATTTCATTTCACATTACTACCTGAAAATATAACGAGTAACCCTACTATGAACTCAACAGTAAGTGGCATATCAGATTATTGATTATGAGGAGTTTTACATGAAAATTCCACTAATAATTTATGCACAATCAGTTTGAGGAAAACTGAATAGTAAGAATAAACAAGGGTGATAGCCTTAAATCATGGTGCCAAGTTAGACCGCTTTTAGTTATCTAACATAATGGAATCCTACTTTTGTGCTATTTTGTGTTTATTTACAGTGGTGAACAGTATTGAGATCGAACCACAGTTTATTCACGATTTGACTATGATGAAAAGATGCTTCTAAAACAACTGAGATTTGAAGAAAAGATTACAAGATTTGAAGAAGAAATCAAAGAAATGAAGGACCCTTTGGTATCAGAGCAAGCACAACGAGCAACACTGTTTTACAATGAAATAAATGAACATAGGAAAAGAATTTCGAAAAATCAAACTTCCATGTATCGTTCGATAACGACATTGATGATTTGTGAAACCGAATGATTGCACACAAAACATGAGCACTGCAGGTCTTACCGAAATGTTCAACAAGGTAATTGAAAGAGCAGAACAGGGATTGAATTCATCACCGATTCACCAGGAGGCCTCAGTTAAACGGGTTTTAGATAGAGTCATCAATGCAGTTACAAATTACAGCAGATTTATCAAAGGTTTTGTAGATCATTAGTTTGTGAGAGTTTTGTTTCAAACAATTTGTAGTCAGTGTTTTGGCAACACATTTTTGTCAAACTGTTTACACTAATGCAAGAAATGAAACAATATTTGGATAAATAAACAACCAAGAAAATAAGATATTTTAATAAACATTTAAGGTATTAGATGCCTATGGCAGTATTTCCTTTCTGAAGAGTAATTTTCAGTGAGGAGACAGGGCGTGGGTTTGAAGCACAGAACGGGGAATATTTCTTTTCCAAGTTTTGTCCTTTTTGATTAATCAGATCATGACTTTCTTTCTTGAATTATATCTTTAATTTGTAATTATAAATACTTGAAGTTTTTTGTATAATTTTTACTGTGAAATGTGTGAAATTAGATAAAATGATATAATTTAAAATCAGCGATTTTCTTTTTATTTTTCAAAAATGTTAAGAATAGTTTCTAGATATCCATTATTAAAAATTTGTTTATGCCTCAGTGACATTTAAAAAATCTGACGGGGTTTCTTATCCCACCACTTCTTATTTGATGTCGAATAACAGGTACACATGTCTCAATAATAAAAAAATCTGTTCATAAACAATGTACATTGATTTAATTGTAGTTATTTAAAGATAATAGTTCTTTGTTATCACTTTTCATGTAAGGAAAATATGAAATAAGTGAAAATTTTCTATAGATGATGAAAACAAAATTGTTGTTGTTGTATAAAACCGATACAAAAAATGAACTTTCAAATGTTTTAAACAAGATACATGTAGTAAACTTTTATATTTTTTTAAGTATTTATACCCAGAATAAAGTAAAGTTTAATAATATAATGTTTTAAACGCCATTTGAATAAGAACCAATTATACATCTAATACCTTAACAAATATTTTCCCCAATTTTCTCATAAAAATACGATATTTTAGATTTAACGAAAATTATATATCTCTTTGTTTTTTTACAGAAGATATAGTATTCACAGTTTCCACCCCAGACGAAGGACTCGAGTTAAACTCAATGAGATTCACGAGTACAATAACGAACAAAGGAAGTGGGTACGACACAACGACCGGAAACTTTACGTGTACTGTCCATGGACTTTATTTCTTTAGTTTACATCTGGTTAAGAAACGGGGATTCTCTACCAACGAAATCGGTTGCTATATTTCTGTTAATGGCACGAACGTAGCAAGGGCATTTTTCGAACCGTACGAGGAGGTTGGTTTTTCTGGCACGCATGATGAACTAGGAAGCTATGGTATTTCCACGTCTATGTTTGTAGAACTTGAGATGAACGATATTTTGCTGGTCAACGGCTGCGTCGGGATGGAAAATTCGTATTGATCCAGAAGATCAGCTCCTGACATTTTTGAACCTTAGTCATCATTCAACGGCCTTTTGATAAGACCTTATATTTAAAGGCAAGCTCGTTTTCGTGAAGTGCAATTTTATTGTCAGAAAAATGTAAATAATGTTAGACCTGCGGATTACAAGTTCCGAAGAAACAGGGAATCGAATAGTTAAAATGTACACGTATATATTATAGCTGTAAATGTAAAACTATATATAACATATACTATTACCCCCCCCCCCCCACACACACACCAAAAAAGGGGGCAAAAGAGATATAGAAAATGGTTTCCGTCCGTGTATGCGTCCGTTCGTCACAATTTTGTTATTTTCTTTAACCTTTATACACTGAGAGTGCACATTTGTAAAAAGTTCAGTGTGCAAGCACAATATCTTATGGTTATTCCCCTATTTCAGATTAACTTGAAAAAATAAATAAATAAAAAATATATAAATTACATAAACATTACTAGTTATGCTTACCTTCTATTCCTTGCTTTACTCTTTTCACACTTACTTGTTCTTGGAAACTGTATTTAATATGATCATTAGCATACTGTTTCTTAAATGGATTTCTTCTTACCAAATAAAGGCGGGTGTTTTAATGTGTTGTCTGCCAGAACTTTTCTATGATAATCTTATTTATTCAAATATAAATACACAAACATGTTCCTGTAATATACATACATATAGGATATCACATGAGTTGCTTTAAAATAAAGTTTCATTAAACTTTAGCGGTCTTTTTACTCGTAACATTTTCTTAAGTTTTATTTTATTTCACAGTAAATAAACGATCACTTTATCACATGACTTATTGTGCTTGTGTTCCGGATTTCCACCCATATGTATCTCTGTACGAAGTTTTAAATTATACATTCATGATTCAATCCTTGTTAAGTTATGCCCCTGACAAAAATAACTCAAATTCTGCAAAAAAAATTCTATAAAGCTTCTGCAAAGTGTGATGGACGGACGCCGGACGGACGGACAACGCCAAACCATATCACCGCATTTGGCGGATGAAAATAGGATGGATGATCAACCTAACCAGTTAAACACCGTGCATATCTGAATAAACAATGGTTAGCATTCAATACGAAATTAAAAGATAAACAAATTTAATTCTGCCAAGGTTTTAGATATGAATAACTTTGCTGCCAACATAGTTTTTCACAGGGTCATGGATATTTCGAGATCAAATTCATGGCACAGATAAAATAATTTCTTCGTGAATGAATCTGAGATATTCCTACGGAGGGCTGGTAAAATATAGAAATATAATTCCAAAGTGCATTGTTCTAAAATAGGCACGTTTTTTGTGAGGTTTTAAAACATTCATAACAGCAATAATATAAATGTTTCATTTGGATATTTTTTTTAAACAAAATATTGCTTGAAGAAAAAAAATGTTGATAAGTGATTACGTATAAACATTAATTTTATATAATGAATATTAAGTAATAAAATTTTGTATCACGAATCTCATACTTGCCAATAACATCCCATATATATTTATTTCGTGGTTTGTTGTTATGACTGATACTAAATACTATAGAATTTTTAATTAATTTTGTAACAGACCTGCCATAGTCATTACAGACAAGTTCACTTGTCCAAATAATGTCCAAGTTAAATCTGTAAGTTGTAACAACCAAAAGCCTTTGATCAAGAAGGAAATTACCTTAGTCCTTATTTAGTTCTTATTTGCTTACTAGATAAACATAACTAAATATTTACGTTTTGTAACATCAGAATTACTCGAGTCTTTCTATCTGAGACATAATTGCGCAATTCATTTATTAATAAAACATCTTAAACCTCACTTGAATGAAAGAAACAATAAATGAGTGAGTTAATACGTGAAGTGAGTGATTGAGTGAGTGTGTGAGAGAGAGGGGTTTGGTGAGTGAGTGAGTGAGTGAATGAATGAATGAAGGAAAATAAGAAAGAAAGAAAGAAAGAAAGAAAGAAAGAAAGAAAAAAGGAAGGAATGAACGAACGAACGAACGAACGAAATAAATTGAGTAATCACTATGAACAGCCCATAATATGTATAGGAAAACAACTTCTCAAATATAATGCTATCTAATCAAAATGTACGTGCAAGTTTATGAGAAGAAGAACTGCAATAGATAAGATATAACTTAAAAGAAAAACGATTTGTAACGGCTGAATATTTACTTACATACGGCCACTGGTGTAACACGCAAAATATGTTGTCAAAATATTTCTCCGTCGTGATACTATGCCTGACCGTCGTCAACGGAAATCTTGTAGAGCACGGAGAGCCGAAATGTTTATCGAAATTTGACTATGATGAGAAAATGTTAATGAAACAATTAAGACTGGAGTACAAAGTTCAGAAATTTGAAGATTTTATTAATGAAATAAAGGCAAAGGAGGAAAAGGAAAAAGAGGAGCGCGTTAAATTACTTGCTGCAGAGTTAGGGAAATTCAAACAAGAGAACGCGGAAGAGATTGCGAGACAGAAAAATGTGACGTCAGTAATGCTCAAAGATTTGGCGAATTCTAAGATTGAGTTAGAAAAAAAGATGAAAGAGAAATCAGAACCTAAGAAAGGTCAGTTAACATAAATGTTTAAAGAAATCTTAATCGTATTTTCTTGTCATTGTGTAAGTAATTTCATATTTGCAATGCTAGAATTTCTTTATCCTTGATTGTCTAAAAGATCGCCTACTTTCCTGAAGCAGTGTTTTCAATTTTTTTTTCGTAAAATTAATGGAGAAAAAATAACATTTTTTTTAAAAATAGAATTCATATAAGATATCTCTTAGCCTATGTAAGACTAAAACATATTTTTTTAAATTTCATTTTATGTGTCGTAGAGGTAGCAAAATGTAAACAAAGAATTGTTGTGACTTCCATACAACAAAATACTAATTCATTATAATTATACCAATTGCCCACAGAACTAAAGATGCAATTTCTGATAGTTCTTGTATACAGCATATAAGTATGCTTTTGCAAATTGTAACACGATACCAAAAGTAAACAGTTCTTAAGATATAAAAATTCAAAGGGATTCAAACCTACAATATGTAAATGGTTTGTCAACGACCTTAACCACTCGGCCACGGACGCCGCTTATGCAGTTACATGTATTTTTTATAGAAATAATGATTTGAAAACAAAAACAAAAAAACAACAACAAAAAAACAACAACAAAAAAACAACAACTTTTCAGGAAATCAGTCTGAAAAAAAGATCGGAAACAAATCACAAAACTTTACAAATACATGTAGTTTGTTTATGTTTCAGAGGAAGTCGTGGTATTCACCGTCTCTACACCTGCGAAGGGTACTAGTGCAAACTCTATGACTTTCACCCAGATCATTACAAACGAAGGTAATGGGTTTGATACATCGACTGGCACGTTTACATGCCCTGTTAGCGGGCTCTACTACTTTTCCTTACACATCATGAAAAAGAGGTCTTCCAGTACGGACGCTGCCGGATGTTCCATTTATCTGAACGGAACCGGTAAGGTGAGAGCTTTTGTAGATCCACAGGACGGGTCCAATGGTGCGGACAACGGAAGTTGTCGAACTCTGTGTACCTCATTCTGAAGGTTGGAGATGTGGTGACCATAGAGGGCTGTACAAGTCGGTCGTCAGACGATGTCGAATCCCAAACCTCGTTCAGTGGTTATTTAGAAGAAAGAATTTGAAAGAAAATCATAAACTTTTATTACTGTAATCACTGTAAGCTTTTTTAAAGCAGGACGTCTTCATGTTAATTTTGTGTTTTTTTTTTTTCAAGTTGGTGAATATTGCCAAGCGAATAAATGAAGGGACTTAATATACCCCGAGGCACTAACCATGTGCTGCAATCAACAAAAATATAATGCAAAAATAGTGAGATATAATATTTGCAGATAAAAAACATTGTTTAAATAACTGGTGTCATAAGTTGTGCCAATCGTGTACCGTGCCACATGGATTGCAATAAATTTTACATTTTCTTTTGTGTTTAAGCTCATCTGCAGGAGTACAGATATATTAAGACATTTAGTGAAATAATGCTGCCAGTTAGACGTTTAGTGAAATAATGCTGCCAGTTAGACATTTAGTGAAATAATGCTGCCAGTTAGACATTTAGTGAAATAATGCTGCCAGTTAGACATTTAGTGAAATAATGCTGCCATTTAGACATTTAGTGAAATAATGCTGCCAGTTAGACATTTAGTGAAATAATGCTGCCAGTTAGACATTTAGTGAAATAATGCTCCCAGTTAGACATTTAGTGAAATAGTACTCCCAGTTAGACATTTAGTGAAATAATGCTCACATACATTTAGTGGAATAATGCTCACAGTTAGACATTTAGTGAAATAATGCTCACATACATTTAGTGAAATCATGCTGCCAGTTAGACATTTAGTAAATTAATGCTCCCAGTAAGACATTTAGTGAAATAATGCTCACAGTTAGACATTTAGTGAAATAATGCTCACATACATGTAGTGGAATAATGCTCCCAGTTAGACATTTAGTGGAATAATGAAAGATGAAGACTTCATAATGGAGGAAGTTTTAAGTTGGTGGTGATTACCATTGATTACAGGCATATATTGGATTCTTAGTTATAATATATGGTTTAATCATTATATTTGCAGGTTTACAGAACAGTTTTTCATAAACATTTGGATGAAGGATAAAAAAACACTTAAAAAAATGTATATTATTTTATTAAAATAAAAGTATTCTAATAATGGAATGGTTTCAATGTTTTCATGACAAATTCAAATTTAACTGAAAAAAACTTCATATCCTCGATGCATGTATGTGGTCGCATGGTCGAAATTCTCATTCGTTTTCAATTGTGTGCCGGTGCAGAATCTTCTGGCGCAAAATCGTAAAACCGTAATAAGTTGTTATAAAAATCACTTTGTGACTTCTTTTCAGAAATTTTAAAATTATTATTAGGATTTATTCACCTTTAAAAAATAACCTTATTTGGGTTTCCATTCTCCTAAATAGGACAGATAAAAAAAACTTGTGTGTTAACTTAATAGGAATTTTTACTCATACTTAACCCATTACTTCATGAGCATTTTGTGAAAAATGGCTGTTTTCATTGAAAAGTCTCCCGTTACAAGTTCAAATTGCTATAATACTATAAAAACTGCTTCAACACTAATCAAACTTGGCACAAATGTTGACTGGACCATTGCCCTTGCAACAACATGCTCAGGCTTAAATTTTCATGGCAACGAGGGGATATCTCAAAATTGCCAAAAATCACTATTTTGCGTTGAGTTTTTCCATCATATTTGATTTTCAAAGTGCTGCAACTTCTCAATGGATTGAGATAGAGTCAAATGCTTGTCAGCGTTGGTTACACGTTACCTTATGATCAATCTGGTGTCATTTATAGCCTCTCACAAGTCCAAAATTTTCTTGGCGTTGAGGGGGACTCCGCCCCACTTCAAATCCCCCAAACAGAAGGGGACACATCCCCCTTCTGGCTACCCCCTGATGTATCTTTTGGTTGGGGGGCCGCGCCGAAAAAGTGGTCACTTTTTTAACAACATTTCTCAAACAAAAACAAGTGTTGGGTGCCTAAATAAAGCATTTTTTCACCATTTGAGACAACAAAAGGGGGGGGGGGGGTGAAAAAGGCGTTAAAAGGCGTGTATATGACGTAATGGATTAAATAACAACTTAGTAACTATTAATAAGAATTAGATTTAAAAGTCTAATTAAAAGAAATAAAAGCATTATTACAAGTTAAGAAATATAATATTAATTACATTCTCGACTCTACATACATTATGACGACTCTACATACATGGTGACGACTCTTAATACATTGTGACGACTCTACATTAATGGTGACGATTATACATCCAGGGTGACGACTCTTCATACATGGTTACGACTCTGCATACATGATAACGACTCTACATACATGTAGGCGACTCTACATACATGGTGACGACTTTATATACATGGTGACGACTCTACATACTGATAACGACTCGACATACATGATAACGACTCTACATACATGGTGACGACTCTACTGATGTGGTTACGACTCTACATACATGGTGACGACTCTACATACATTATGACGACTCTACATACATGGTAACGACTCTACATACATGGTGACGACTCTACATACATGGTAACGACTCTACATACATGGTGACGACTCTACATGTATGTAAAGTCTCTACATACTTGGTGACGACTCTATATACATGATAACGACTCGACATACATGATAACGACTCTACATACATGGTGACGACTCTACTTACGTGGATACGACTGTACATACATGATTACGACTCTACATACATGTAGGCGACTCTACATACATGATATCGACTCTACATACATGGTGGTGACTCTACATACATGGTGACGACTCTACATACATGGTGACGACTCTACATACATTGTGACGACTCTACATACATGATAACGACTCTGCATTCATGGTGACGACTATACAAACATGATAAGGACTCGACATACATGGTCAGGACTCCAAAAAGCTCAGTAATCATCATCATGATGAATTGGATCTTTGCAATATACTTTATACTATTTCAAATTCATATTTACATAAGTTTGTTTCCTTTCATTTCATGCAAATAAACATAAACAATTTAGCATGCATAAACTATCAGTCTATAATTAAACATATGGTATAAAGATTACAAATATTTGTTTAGAGATTACCTTTATTGTATTGTGTCAATAAGGGGATTAACTTCGTTTTAATCAAATGCACAACAAAAGTAACCTTATTGATTTACAATGTACTTATAATAACGTCCTTTAACGATACGTTATGCCCACATTTTTTTAAGAAACAAAACAAAAACATCCTGCTAGAGTGAGGAACGATGGGAGAACCGGTATGTCCCCATCGTGGACAGTGATACATTTAACACTTTTAATTTGTTTAGAACAAAATTGTCTAACCTGAGGAGTGATATTTTGCTGTAATCTAACTAGTTCAAAGATAAGGAGGAGAAAGCAGCGACAGCAACAACAAACCCCTCCCCCCACCCCCCCAAAAAAAAAAACAAAACAAAAAAAAAAGAACAATCAATGCTATAGAAAAGAGATATCATATTTGGCAACTGCCTCTTCAAGAAGGAATCTGCAAAAAACCTGATTTGAAATACTAAAAGTAGGAAATAATCTGATGAAAAGCTGTTATTGCTTGTATGCACTTTAAAGATAGCAACAGTTTATAGACTCGAGAGCTTGCCAGGTAGTATGAATCGTTGTGGTTAACACGTTTCATGCTTTAATAGTTTGTAAACGTGATTTTATACATGTAAGAAAATGTGTTAACTACTTGAATATGACTAGAAATGCGCGTAATTAAGGGAGGTAAATCTGCAGCGCATATTTTCAATAGACCGCTGTAATAAGGTGAGAGGAGTTGCCCTCCTTACAAGTTAAATTTTATTAATAATTTTGGCTATTCATGTTTTGTTATCTATAGATTATAGTCTATGATAAATAAATAAAACAATGAAAGACGGTTCGGGGGAAAGAAAGAAGGAAATAAGGAACGAATGCACTGACAGACGGACTGAGGGAAGAAATGAATGAAGAAAAGAAGGGCGGGCTTGCGAACGAACGTACAAACGAACGAACGAACGAAGGACCAAACAAACAAAAAATCTTGATGAAGAGATACAATTTCAAACGCCATGCGATTTTCATACATAGTTTGTTAACATCATCTTCTATAAAAAAAAGCCATCAATGTTTCTTTCGAACTATGTAAAACGTATTCAAGACCTATCGAACTTGGATGCAATGATAAGGATAAATTTGAAAGGCAAGAAAATGACATAATATACAAAGCATCACTTTTTACAATGTGTCAGGCATTTCATTCTCCTAGGGAAATCACGTCTTTTACACATAAAAAAGGTCGGATTAGGGACCATTTCTCACAATGTTAGTCTATAGGACAATCAAAAACGTTAGTCAGACCTGGAGTTAAGGCAAACATACGAAGTGGTTTTATTATAATCAACAAGATTAAAGTACAGATGTAAATTACAGGTGTAAAAGTAAAAGACAAAATAACTTTACACATTACAATAATTGTTTCAAATTTTTCTTTTCATAGTTTACACAAAAAATAATAAATAACCGACCCCAAGGAAATTTCTATAAATAGCCATTATTATTCGTCGGTAACGTCCAGTTGGTAAAAAAATTGGGACGGTCTTTTTTGTTTTAGATACAGTAGCTGTTTTTTTTCTTTTCTCTTAAACATTAATTTTGCAATTATCAATTATTGTTCAGTCACAGTGATAAAAAAAATAAAAAAGTAAAAATAATATTAAAAAAAAAATAAATAAATGTGTATATTTTAAAATATAAAGCGTATACAGTGAAAAATGATATAATATTATTTCACTTTTATTATATAATTTATAATGCCGATTTGCCAATAAATGAAATGAATATTATAAATTAAATAATAAAAAATGGTTAAGTGTGACTATAATAATAATAAGGTACAATACAAACTGTTAAATCAGCTTAATGGATTATAATGTAATGCAAACACTGACCCGTCATGTTTAAACATGTTGTATAAAATCGAACTATAGGCTATTGATAGGTATTTAGTACCTTAAAACTATCACAAATAAATACACCTTTAAATAAATATTAAATACTGAGGTAACATAATTTTATCCAGGATATAAAATGTCACATTGCGAATAATTTGCAATAATTGTAAGTTAAAACGTTTTAGGTGTCTACTGTTTATTAACAACTTTGCTTTGCACATGTACTTTTATCATACTGTTTTATGCTTATAATAATGTTGTTAGATTGTGTAAATTTATCACGTTCAAAACATACAATGAAATATTATTAAACTGAATATTTCTACATGTATAATGCTAGTTCCGTTTAAGTTGAATTAGTGATATATTTCGAAAGCTTGTTTTATGGTGATAGACCAATAATTAACAAGGACGTTTTTTATACAATTTAAAAACGACCTATTTTATTAAACGACTGCCTCCCTTTTCCGAAATGAACGTTACCGATACATTCTGAACAACATTTATAGAAATGTCAGTTGGTCACGTGGTGTATTGATAACTTTATCATAGTAAAATATTAAACTGAACACAATTATGGCAAAATGCCAAGTTATTTTGTTTTTTACCTAGCCAATGACCATTTACAATTAGATTTAAAGGTTTTAAGACATATTTTCATTATAGAATGTATATGGTCTATAGAGGAAACACGTAACGTTTTGATTAAAGTCCAAACTGTTAAATGTTAAAACATGTATTATTCTGTTGTATTAAATAAACTACTACTGGCGGCATGGCCGAGTGGTTAATGATTCGGACTAGTAATCTAGATCTAAAGTTCGCCAGCCGCATGGGTTCAAACCCTGACAGGGACAAGTCGTTGTTTCCTTGAGCAACAAACTTAGCACATATTGCACAGTACTGGTTGATTCTAGAAAGGTATTTGAAAAATGTGTTTTTAAGCTAATAGCTTCCAACACAATCGAACTAAGTAAATTCTGTAGAAACCAAATAAACTACTTAAAACGACTGTGACAAAACTAGGTTACTTGAAATATGCACGTGGCTTGCAAGTACTCCCTAGTATTCAATGTAAAACAATTACGTAAAACTATAATATTAACCTGGTGTATACACACATGCAATTGATTAATACCTAAAGAAATAAATATTTTGCAAAATGCGAATCAGATCTTTTTTAAAGGTTTATGTTCCCATTTCTCTCCTTTTTCATTTTTATCTCGCATTTATAATTCATATATCTTAGTCCAAATGTATATAAAGGGTGTTAATAAACTGTTACATTTATTCATTCATTCAGAGTTCAAAGATGCAGAGCAACGATACTGTCAAATTCAAGAACACATTGAGTCGAACAAAGTGGGAATTTTAGAAATGCTAACGCCTATAGTACAAAACTTCAACCTGCGAATATTTGACTACTTGACTCAGGCTATATTCCTGACAGGCATGACAGGCATTGCGAGTGTAGGAATAATATTTGCTATTCCATATCTGTATAGTAACTATAATGACAATGTTATTTTGTGCTTACGATTATTTGGAGTTTTCATAGATTTTCAATTAACTGTGAATTGGTTGTGTGTAAAATACGTTAATACAAGTTATAAGCCGTCACGTGACGGTATAATTCCGGACGGGATATCAATTGGACAGAAAATATGCCACACTGTTGACAATAACCATAATGACAGCAACATGCGATCCCGAAAAGACGCTACATCACTCAACATGGAAATTAATGACTCACAAGACAGCTTTATGTATGTCGCCAGTAAAGTACCCAGAACCCACACGGAGCCACCCAATACCAATATTTCTCGTGGGCCCCGTGTTTACAGTGTACATGTAACAGACCCCGCCTACCAAGATGTCACCATTGTCCAATATGTGACAAGTGTGTAATGAAGCGAGACCACCACTGTTATTTTACCGGGGGGTGTCTTGGGGGTAGGGATCTCAGACATTATACCGTATTCGTATTTTGGCCTCTCATGGGCGCTTTATTTGCAAGCGAACACTGTCTGCCATTTTATTATTACGATATTCTTCCATACACTAGTTACTTTGACTTGATTTTCCCAATAGCAATAACTCGTGCAGTATTCGGATACATTGATTGGATATATGCAGGTTGCATAGTGCTCGGATGGCTACTGTTACTGTTTTTACTTATTGCCAACACATATCTGAAAATAATAACTGCCGATATAAGCACGAGTAAAACTTCCTTTGAAATGGATTTTGACATTTATATTACAGATACAAAGGGAAAAAAATAATGTCAGTGTTCGGACCCCATTGGAAACTTAACTTTTTGTTTCCTCTTCATTTCATTTATGAACCAGTGGATGATACTGTAAGGTGGCCAACAATAAAAGCTTGATCTTGATCATCAAACTTCAGGTTGGGTGATCACTTGACACATGTTTTCTGTAACATTGGGTCACCGCAAATGGCCACACTCGAAGGTATTTGCTAATTTCTGGTTACATCTTTCAATATTTGAATAATAAACATACGAGTATACCATGTTCTACACAAATATTTGCCGATTCCAATTGCCGATTTTTTTAGCTATTATACTTTTCTCGACATGCCTGAAGAAATTGTGACCACAATGTTACCATATAATTTCGTAAAAATATTACGTATACTGCAAAGAAATATGACTGAAATCATAGCGGAAAAAGGTCTACAATGGAAAGTTTGGAATCGGCAAACACTTGCTTGGTGCATGACACATTTTATTTATTCAATTATAATTGAAAACTATAACGAAAAATTAGCGAAAAAAACTTTAATGTCTTTGGTGCAGCTATTAGAGGTGACCAAAAGTTATCGTAAACTAAAATCACGTGATCAACCACCCGGTGATTTTATGTAAAGAATTATTTGGAAGTACAAATGTATATTTTGATGTGCATTGATCGAGTTATAGATTACATTGTAAAAAGCTATCAGAACTAATTCATAAAATCATTATGGTATATCTATTTTACGGTTTGTCGAATGCCAAATAAGTTAGAAAATATAAACAACCATCACTGTTTTCCTACATATCTGAGGCATCTGAACAGTTAACAAAGGAAAATAATCGAAACTTATATAAATTTTTTATACCATACCGTAATAGAGTAATAAATTCTAGGTGAATGCTGCTTTACCTTTACTCTAAATGTTAGTGGGCGTCAGTGGTTCGAGGTTCGACAGTGACTTTGGATTTTTTCTTGTGAGCTAGCTAGTTTACGGAACGTCTTTGGCTTTACTCAGGTGTCCGTTCGTGCCTAAATTAATGCAATGAATGCACGGAAGAGCACTTGGGGCCAATTTTGCTAAAATTCGCCATGCACTGTATTGTTGCCACCTAAAACCCAAAACCATTACAAAATAAAAATCCACAAATCCGTATATATATACTTGTACGTCCTCTTAACGCACAAAGTAAACTCAGAATTAAGTGCACGGACATGCTATTTTTGTTAAATATTAGTGATACGGATAAACATTTCCCAGTCGATTATGAAAAATCTGCTAGCGTTACTGATTGAAAGTGTTTGTCACATAGACTCACCAAGATATTTATGTTATCTAGCGTCAATGTAGTAAACTACAGGAATTTCAGTAGAATTATGTCAAAAATAATTTAGAAATTTTATAAAGTTTCAAGCCGTGGAGAAATTTGCCTATTTGACAGTGAATTAATTTGTATAGAACCAGTCTATCAATTTCACGAGCAGTGACTTAAGTGTTTAAGGTGTCTGCTTGTCAACCTAGGAATCATTGGTTCGAGTATAACTCGGTTCATATGGTGACCAACTTCATATGGTTCATCTGTTTAAAAGAGGTGCTTGTAAAATAATAGTTTATGTTAACAAAAAAAATATATATATGAAAAAAATACTGTTTAAATTTTTGAAAATGACGTCCTGATCATTCTAACCGATGCACATGTCGGTGAACCATATGAAGTTGTTCCTCTATGAATGATTATGTGAAAGTAATTCTAATATATATCATTAAATTCTAGCCCGGAATCAGTTGCAAGAACAAGCTCTCCTTGATCTGGTGTCTTATATTATATCACAATGAAGAACACATTGAATGAATTGCTCAAATCATTGGCATGTTTCATACATCTTCAACAGATTGAAATTAAGTATAGATTTATCTCCCTTTCACCATCGTCATTCTCAAATTATCCTAACACCGGAACTGTTATTACGTCCCTTTAACTGCTGCTTTTTTTAAACATAGGTCATTCGAGTGGAGACATTGCATTGGTCAGTAAACTAAGAAAAAATGCTCTGTATATATCTTTTATTCCTCCATTGAATGAAGAGCAAAACAAGAATACTTAAATATTAAACATATATACAAATTTACGACAATTCAACAAAGATAATAAAATATTTTGCCAACAAACTAGTTAAATATAAATAACGCTGTAGTAATTTTTTGAAACCACAAACAATTTTCTGTCGACAATCTAATACCGTATTTGCTATTTGCTTTTACAATCAAAAGTACCATACTTACAGTCATTTAGGTATTTTATATGTACATTCCTGGAATATATTTTAAACCGCAATTTGCATTTTTCCCATTTCAAGCATGAAGGTATCTCATGGACCAGTATAATTAATGATGGAACTTTAAAATTAAATTGTATCAAGCTATATCTGAAAAAAAAAAACAACATTTTTATACACATTAAAAAACCGTAAATGTTGTTTTCATCACATTATGGCCGTTTCTTGAAAGATTTGTTGCATTTAATGTCTAAAAATACATACATGTATGATATTACGTATAAGTTAATAAACTTCTTGTTCTAAATGACCACTGAATGACGTATATTCTTCTACGCGGTCGGATATACCCTTGTTGCAACTATCTAACGTCACCACATCTCCAACTTTCAATTTTAAATACACGGATGTCGAAGCTCCGTAACTTCCGTTGTCTGCACCATTTGACCCGTCCTGTGGATTTGTGTAAGCTGCCAATGTATTTGATCCGTTCAGATAAATGCCACATCCGGCAAAGCTGACACTGGGTGACCGTTTTTTAATGATGTGTAAGGAAAAGTAGTAGAGCCCGCTAACAGGACATGTAAACTTGCCAGTCAATGTATCAAACGCGTTCCCTTCGTTTGTAATGACCATTGAAAAAGACATAGAGTCTGATGTAGCACCCGCCTTAGGTGACATTACTGTGAAAGCCACAACTTTCCCTAAAAACGACAGAATGGTTAGATTAAAGGTTTAAAAACTGATAAAAAGATACCTTTAGATCTATGTTTTCTTTTAACATAAATTATTTAAAAGCTTCATATTTTATTAATATATAATTATGTAGTTCTAATAATGTTAAAGGCATGTCATTTTTGCATGACGTTAAATATTGATCTAGTTTTATGTATTCTGTTGATGATTAAAAAGTAATTTTATCTAAAATATTTGTTTTTTATCATAACGGTGCCTTTACCACGTGACTTTTATAATCTGCATGTGTTCTAAAGACGGTTCAGGTAGTAATTTCTTTTTAAAAATAAAATGTTATTTTTAGGGAAAAATAAGCCATATGTAATTTAGTGTAATGACATGTTTGAACATTTAGAAAATAACGCGGCTTTAATTAATGGAAGAATGTCATTTCTTCTCAAGAAACATCCTATGTAGGGTTTAATAATAAGAATATGCGGACACTACAATTCATTCCATATGAGATAATGGTACATTAAGAAAGTCACGATGGAAAATACTACGTCTTTTATGTTGATTTTCTGCTACCAATATCACACGATATAGACACAGTGATCATAATTATTGATAAATTGTTCATAAAATTCGCATTTAGCCAAATAGGTAAACGTTACATCTCAAGAGGCAGTATACAGTTTCATTTGGCAAATTCCGAATTTGTCATGTCAAATTTACACACGAGAGCAGACAGTTTTGAAATTGAAGTGGATATTGTAGCTTTATAATATTGAAAGTTTCAAAATGTCAAGTTTCCCTGGCTAGTACTGTGTATCAGTTATTTAGTCAAATTGATTTTAGTGGTGTAAGCAATACATTTTGAGACCTGATGGATTCGAATCGAATATATATTACATGGAGCTACTGCGAAAATAAACTCGTCTATATCAAAGTATGAACTTCAAGAAGACTTAAAGTAGTGAAGGAAAAAGCTGACATACACCAAGTTGTCATGTTATTTTCAGATTGTATGATGATTGAGAAGGAAAATGCAATGCGGAATATAATATTTACACCAGCCTCAATGTTTCTGTAGGACTTCAATGATAAAATTGGCTGTATTTTTTTGTAATCATAATGTCTCGCAATAAAAACGGCTGTCAAAAATACTAGAAGTTAAGCATGTATTATTGATTATTTGCTGTGAAAATACTAGAAGTTAAGCACGTATTATTGATTATTTGCTGTGAGATACATATTTTTACGTTGAAAATGAACTTTTAGTCTTATTTTAGTCGTGTGGATACAGACATGTACGCAATTGTATTTGAGGTTTTTAAAAATCTGTTTTTGATTGTGACGCTTCAGTTGTTTGCGAGAAGCTTGAAAACTGTTTACTGCCTCCTCGTGTATAACATGCGGAAACATATTAGTGTGTTAAAGATCCTGTAACACAATTATTTCATGGTTTTATTTCATAAATATGATGCTCAAATTAAGATTTGTCAATATTGTAAGTTCCAATAAGCATTATTTATAAAGATATTACCCAATTTAACATTTCATGTAAATAAAGGGAGGTAATTAGAAATTTATTTTCTATAAATTCTAAGTCAAATTTTGCAATAAGAAATGAATGCCTGTAATTTATTGATTAAATAAAATGTGCACAAATATTTGCAGTAAACATTTTACATAATATTATTCTTCTATGCTTGAAAATTGTTTTATTTGCATAAATATGTACATATATAATTTTTTGCTAGTGTGGTATTCACACAGTAAAACTATCAATCACAAAACATACAGGATCTTTAAATATTCACAATTTTACGGTAACCTTTCTTTGGCAATTGATATTACTCATGTACAGAAAAAGAAAATATTACATAGTTAGCTCGTAAAATGAACACATGCGTTAAATCAAAGTTTTAACATTAATCTTCTTCACAATATTGTTGACGCTATGTTTTTTCTTTTATTAAAAAGAAAAAAAAAATATAAAAATGTTATTTTACAGCATGTGCTTAAGTAGGGCTTGCTACGTTATTAAGACAATATCACTTCTTTACAATACCAAAATAAGATGACATGCATTTTTGTATTTTTTAGGAGTGAAACTGACCTTTCATTTTCTCATTTATCTGTTTATGGACGTTTTCAAGCTCCATCTTAGAATTCTCAACATTTTCGAGCATTTCTGACGTAACAATTTTCTGTCGTTCAACTTCTTCCGAATTCTCTTGTTTATATTTCTCTAACTCTGCTGCAAACAACTTAGAACGTTCTTCTTTTTCATTTTCTTCTCGCGCCTTTAATCTGTTTATAAAATCCTCAAATTTCTGAACTTTGTCTTCGAATCTTAATTGTTTCATTAACATTTTCTCGTCATAGTCAAACCTCGAAAAACATTTAGGTTCTCCAGGTTCTCCGTTGACAACGGAAAAACACAGTATCACGACGGAATAATATTTCAACAACATATTTACTTGTTACACCAGTGGAAAGATCCTTGCATGCACTTGTTTAATAGTAATATCGCATCAAGTGACTACTACCCTTATGTTTGCTCGCTGATATAGTTACGAGAAAATAAATAGAATGAAATATTTTCTTCTAAGATTGTAATGGGCTGTTCATGATGTTAGCGAGACATTGAAAATATGTCAAAGTTTTTTGTTTTTGCAAACACAAGTGCGCTCCAAACCAATGCTTCTAATAAGAAAATAATGAAATGCATGGCTCTGCTTAATAAACCTGGATTCCGGTTTTGTATGATCGCGTACATTACTTCCTTCCTTCCGTTTTTCCTCCCTTCCTTCCTTCCTTCTGTCCGCCCTTCTTCCTTCCTTTCCATCCCTCCTTCTTGCTTCCTTGCTTGCTTGCTTCTTTGCTTCTTTCCTTATCTGCTTGCTTGCTTCCTTCCTTGCTTGCTTTCTTCCTTCCTTCCTTCAATGTTGTCCAGCAAGGAGATAATAAATCAGTGTCCTATGGAAGAATTGTCTCATAAGTCCAAAAATTTTATATTACCCGTCACTGCATATTATATGACTCGTCTATGTCAATGGTGTACAGTCAGACCCGTTTACCCATGCATTGGACATTTGTCTTATGGAGATGACTCATCTTTATTTATTGTTAAAATACGTTGCTGATATTTGCCTAAATTATGCTTAACTATAAAATCTTAATAAAATGCAAATTACGTGAATAAATATTTTCATAATATAAATAACAATTATTTTATATTTCAAAAGTATACATTTAAAATGACCCCCTTCTCCAAAATTACAAGAATTGTGTGTAGACGACTATATTGATTGGTATCACATTGTCAGCATTGTAATTTGTTCAGCAGAAAATAAGTCGTACGGCATTTTATTATAAACTCATATTTTTTTCCTAAATTTCACGCAAATCTTGAAGTGCATATACGCTTCAACGGATATAAAATTCAGTATTATGTATATGACAAATACGGTACCGTATATGGAAGTGTCGGACTATTTTTGACGTTGATTCTGATCTTAGCTGCGTATAACGTAGCATTTGGCAACGGGAACCAAAATTATTAAAGGCATGGCCGGTTTTGCAAATTACGTGTTCATTAATTTATTTCATGACACTTATAATTTATTTTCTGAAATTACTTATAAAAGTGAAGTATATTGAAAATCATTTTTCGCTTAAAACAAATAGGTATATAATGAAAGGATAACTATGTTGCAGTAGCTTTCTGAGACTATGTATTTATCTACTCGCAACGGTCTCGCAAAATACAAAGACTCAGAAAACTACTACAACATTATTTTCCGTACATATTATAAATTTAAAGTTATTTTATCTTTTTTATCATTCAAGCCTGCTAAGAGTTTGTATTTGTAAGAATAACGAGCCTAATGGAAATTCTAAATGTGAGAGTTACTTGGTTTGCTTCTGATTTTATGAGAGCCTCAAACGTTTGCCTATGATTTAACAGGTCTGGAATTCGAATCACATTTCAGGCAAGCGAAAAAAGGTGTCCTTTCCTCGTGATATGAACATTTTTCTCAAAAGATAAGGCGAGATATTCAAAGATAAAAAGTATGGTTGTGTTAAAAAACAACCAGCAACAAATATTCATAAATGAAAGTGTATTGCAAGTAAGAAACTTTTCACCAACCCTCCCAATTTCAGTTTCATTTTCGATTTTTTTTCTTATATCATTGTGCCAACAGTTTTAATGAGTTCATTGCAGATGTTAAATTGTTAACTAGGCACAAGTGTTGTTTACCGATGAATGACGTAAAAAAACGAGTGAGATAATCCAGTTGCCTTTCACAATGTACAACCGGTGGCACTAAAATAAACTTTCACCATTTTGAATATTGTTTAAACAATAAGCAAAATGATTATGAAGAAAATGTAGAATGGATCTGTATGTAGCATACTAGTATTTTGTTCTTCTTCAGTTAAATATCAAGGAATTTATCATCTTAAAAAATCAAATGTTCAATTGATAAGTCGTACGGGGAGTCGATTTTGTTGAGATACATTCTGCTACATATTGTTTATTGTTTCTATGGTGACAGATATCACTCTGTTTTTGTTGTAACTGTATTGTAGTATGACTTGTTGGCAAACTTGTCCAGACCTGTCTAATGATTCATCAGTTTCGTTTTACATTAATTTTATTGTCTGTCATACTCAACACCTCATTGGAATATGACAAAGTTATTTAAACGGCCACAATTTGACAGCACACGTTTTGTGCACTAGAAAAATATTAGAAATACAGGACAGGCCTGTTTATTTAGAAACATCTACCAGTATTCCATTTTTCAAGAATAATAATCCCATTGGTTATTCTGTCAATTGTAACAAAATTGTAAAATAAATGATAATTTACACAAGAAAGGTAACTAAGTCTTGTGTTTTATTTTCGGATTCTTAGTGTTTTTGTTTTGTATTTTCCTCTTTATGTGTTGCAAATTCGTTAATTTGATTACCAACAAAACGTTCTCATTTGTAAACTTCCTTTTCAAACTTAAATTTGATTAAACTTTGTTTAAAAAGAAAATACACTTTAATATAAACATGTTCATAACAGTATACATTTCAATAAAATAAAATATTAGTTTAATGTTTAACTTAGAGCCATTTCTTAAATATTTTTTGGGAAGCATTTGTGAGAACTGTTTAACTCCAGAACTTCCATTTATCAAGACGTTTGTTTTAAACTTCTTTTTCAGTTAATTCAATCACTTTATCTTTAACTTCATTACTTTGACGTATTTTCAAGGCACTGGAGAGATACCAGTCTTAAATTACACACTTTTATAAACTGTTGAGAAGATAAAAAGTAATTTTCCTAATGCAATTTCTTTTTCCGAGTATTCAGTTCAGCTTTTCGCCTCATATGCTCTTCACCGACATGACCTGAACTTTCCTTTATGTAATGGAAGTAATTAATGAAAAACTTTCCTGGCAATTTTGTTAGAAATAAAACATGATGTGGCTATATTTTGGAGTAAACATGTTTATCTAAAAAGGATTTTCTTGTTACAAGTCTTACAAAAGATAACCTAATGTTAGCATGACGACTGTGTTTTTTCTTCTTTCATTTCACAAATCACTAGCTTAGTTTATGTATGTGAACATATATTTTAAATAGATATAAAAAGTTAATTGTTTTGAAAAGTTGTCACACATATTAACTAAACACACAATCATATAATATAAGAAGTAATACAAAAACTTTTTGGCATACTATTAAACCCGAATGCATTATCAATTAAAAAGTATTTTATGATGACATCAATAATATAAAGGCGCTAAGAGAATGTTTAATTAGGTATAGTAGTGAAAAATATTTTCATTTGTACTACATAAACTTAAAAAAATCACCATGTTATACAACGATTAGAAGTTGTCATCTTTCAACGCATATGCAAGAGAACATAAGTACAGAGAAGTAATCGAAATAGAAAGAAAGTTAAGGAAGAATAGGAGTTAACGGAAAAGTTGAATGTATCAACTTCAAACTTCAAATATATGTTTCTTATCTTCAACCACACCTTATGTGACAAGGTTCATAACTTTAGCACCCATATTTTTAGATTTATCCCCCATTGAACTTAGAAGTTTTCTTTAAAAATACTGTTTTTACTGTTACTTCTTTATTTCTGAAGGGAAAAACTTCATACTTCAAATATTATTTTTTACTGTTACTTATTTATTTCTTAAAGGATCAACTTCATACTTCAAATATATGTACCTTATCATTAACCACATGTTATCTGACAAGGTTCATAACTCTAGCGCCAATATTGCAAGAATTATCTCCCCATAAACTTAGGTTATTTTCTTGAAAAATGTTATGTTTTACTATAACTTTTTTAGTTTTAAAGCTATCTACCTCAAACTTCAAATACTTATTCCTTATCATCAATTACATTTTTTTGACAAGGTTCATAACTCTTGAAGTAATATCTACAGATTTATCTTTCTTTGAACTTAGGATTTTCTTTAAGAAATATTATAACTTTACTTTTTATGGAATCTACTTCAAACGTCAAATATATATTTCTTATCATTACACACATGTAATGTGACAAGGTTCATAACTCTAGTGTGACTATTTCCAGAATTATGTCTCTTGATCTTGGAATTTATGTTAACAATGTTTTTTTTTTACTATAACTTAATACACTATTATACATAATCGTTTTTTTCCATAGTTTTGTCTTCCTTACTGCGTCAAGTATTTTATTAGTTGAGCTTCGCTGTCTCCTGTGACAGCTCTTGTTCTGATTACAATACCCTAATATGCAGCTATCTATTAAGTTCTCTTAGTAAAAACAAGCGTTTGAAATTTTTAACACGTATGGCGGCCATTTAGATTTCCCCGCCATATTGGATTTTAAAAAATGGGTCCCACGCTCATTTTTCTATATATATCTAAGTTCATTTGTACCAAGTTTGGTGCTTTTCCCATTTTCTGAAGTATTTTTTTCACAAATTGACTGAACTATTAGGCATCTGAAAAGTTTACAAAGGAAAATAATCGAATGTTACATATAATTTTTATACCGTACTGTAATAGAGTTATCAATTCTAGCTGAATGCTGATTTTTCTTTTAAATAACTATAAATGTTAGTAGGCTTCAGTGGTTCGAGTTTCGACATTGACTTTGGATTCTTTCATGTGAGCTAGCTAGTTTACGGAACGTCTTTGGTTCTACTCAGGTGCCTATTCGTGCCTTGAATAATGCATAATAGAGCTGTTAAGGTCTTCTCCATAAGCAATGCTAGAAAGTCGCCATGTGTTGTTACGACGTAAAACCAGATCTAAAAAAATATCCACAAATCCGTAGACATGACACTTTATATACATATACTTGTACGCACCTTTTACATTCTATCTTAACGCCGAAAGTAAACTCAGAATTAAGTGCACGGACATGCAAATACTGCTTTTGTTATTTTTGTTAAGTTGAAATATCCTGTATGTTGTAAAAAATGTTGTTACGTAGTGGTGTTGGAAGTTTTCACCCCGGATCACGACAGTAAGCCGCATTAAATTCACCAGAGCACAGTTCAACCATCGCATCGTTCCTGGACAGGCTGTCCTACAGTTTACCAGTACTACTTATGATAACAAGAGGGCCATGATGACCCTATATAGCTAACCTGACCAACCGAACTCATCCGAACAATTACCTAGACAAGCATTCTGACTAAGTTTTATGACAGGTGAGTCAAAAATGTGACCACTAGAGTGTTAACAAGGATTATCAATATTTGAGCTGTGTGACCTAGATTTTAACCCTGGTGACCCATATTCGAACTTGACCTAGAAATCATCAAAACAAACTTTCAGACCAATTTCAAGGATACTTGGATCAAAACAGTAGCCACTAGATGTTAACAAGATTTTTCTATTTTTAGTTCATGTGACCTAGTTTTTCATCTGAGATGACCCATGTTCAAAGTTATCCGAGCAATTACCTAGACAAGCATCCTGACCAAGTTTAATGACAATTGAGTCAAAAATGTGACCACTAATTAAAAGTGTTCACAAGGTTTTTCCATATTTGGGCGGTGTGACCAAGTTTTTGACCCCAGGTGACCCTATTACCTAGAAATGATCAAAACAAACTTTCAGACAAATTTCCAGGATATTTGGATCAAAACAGTAGCCGCTAGAGTGTTAACAAGGTTTTTCTTTTTTTTAGCTCTTGTTACCTAGTTTTTCATCCGAGATGACCCATGTTCGAACTCATCCGAGCTACCACCTAGACAAGCACATTGACCAAGTTTGATGATATTTTAGTCAAAAATGTGACCGCTAGAGTGTAAACAAGGGTTTTTCTATTTTTAGCTCCGGTTACCTAGTTTTTCATTTGAGATGACCCATGTTCAAACACATTCCAGCTATCAACTAGACAAGCATCCTGACCAAGTTTGATGGTGATTGAGGCAAAACTGTGAACGCTAGAGTGTTAAGGTTTTTTTCTATTTCATGCTCCGGTGTCCTAGTTTTTCATCCGAGATGACCTATGTTCGAACTCATCCGAGCTATCAACTAGACAAGCATCCTGACCAAGTTTGATGATGATTGAAGCAAAAATGTGACCGCTAGGGTGTTAACAAGGTTTTTTCTATTTTTAGCTCATGTGACATAGTTTTTCATCCGAGATGACCCATGTTCGAACTCATCCGAGCTATGAACTAAATAAGCATCCTGACAAAGTTTGATGATTATTGAGGCAAAAATGTGACCGCTAGAGTGTTAACAAGGTTTTTCTACTTTTCGCTCCTGTGACCTAGTTTTTCATCCGAGATAACCCATGTATGAACTCCTCCGAGCTATTAACTAGAGAAGCATCCTGACAAAATTTATTGATGATTGAGGCAAAAATGTGACCGCTACAGTGTTAACGAACAAGTGTGAACGGACGACAGACGACGGACGACAGACGTTAGACGACGGACATTCAACGATCCTAAAAGCTCACCCTGAGCAAGCTCAGGTGAGCTAAAGAAACATAAAAATGTGTTACAGGATCTTTAAGTGATAAAGTTTTCCCAGTCGATTATTAAAAATTTGCTAGCGTTACTGATTGAAAGTGTTTGTCACATAGACTCACCACGATATCTATGTTAGCTATAATTATATAGTATATAGTAAACTACAAGAATTACAGTAGAATTATGTCAAACATAGTTTAGAAAGTTATCAAGTTTCAAGCCGTGGTGATATTCCTCTTTTTGACAGCTTTGCTCTTAGTCATTTAGTTTGTAGAATCAATTTCACGAGCAGTGACCGGAGAGTTTAAGGTGTCTGCTTTTCAACCTTGGCATCATTGGTTAGAGCTTTACTCGTTTCACACGGGGGAGCAACTTCATATGGTTCAACGAAATCTTCATCGGTTAAAAAGATGTGCTTTTAAATAGTTTGAATTAACAAAAAAAATCCTGAAAATGGCATCCATATGTTGGAGCTTAACAAACATATGTTTAACCGGAAAAAGACATATCATTCTGACCGATACACATTTTGGTGAACCATATAAGGCTGTTCCTCTATAATTACGTGAAAGTCATTCTTAATATATGCATCATAAATTTCTAGACATGGGATCAGTTTTAAGAATTGAGACTAGCTCTCCTTGGTCATGTGTATAATATTTTACCAAAATGAAGAACGCATTGAATGAATTGCTCAAATCATTGGTATGTTACATACATCTTTAACACATTGAAATTAAACACAATTATCCCCCTTTCACCGTTGTCAATCTCAAATTATTTTGACACCGGAACTATACTTAAGGACAATGAAAACGCACGCCCGCACTATATGCATTTTATTGCATGAAGACAAAACACTAACGACTCCATTAGATATATATCATAACTTTAATACAAAACGCAAACTTAACAACTGAAAATAATTCAAAATGTTTAAAATCAAATGTACAACAGTAAATCGAAGAACCTTAGGTGAAAATCCCCAAATCACACTTTTTCATCACAGTAATGCAAACTTAACAAAGGCAAAAAACCAGAATAAAAACCACAACAAAGTCACTCATAATAAATATCTATTCGTAATGTCACCGTCGGGATCTTTAGAAACGACAATATCCTCCATCAGCGTCTCTTACAGTTGACGTCGTCGCCTCGTAGACCTTATGATGCGGATAGTCGCCTGTGGAACCTGACGCCATTCAGACTGTAGTGTAGTGCGAAAACGCTGATGAAGCGGGGAAATTGTAGACCGATGGACACCAAAACGGTTGGCGCTTTGATAATACAAAATTTGATTATAAGATAGACCAGACTGAATCTGTCCTAAATCTACCCAGCGGTTAATTCTTTGTAGAATCATTGCATACAATTTGCTAGCAAGTATTCAGAAGTGTTTGAAATTAAGCACCTTTTATAGAGGAAAAGTGTATAAATGCAATTTCAATGTGAGGTATTACGATTTCTAAAAGTGACCATTGGCATAGTTTAATATTCATTTTCATAAAATTTTAATTGCTCATATGTGTCTAACATTTCTTGAAAGGTGTGAAAAACAAGTTAATAATTAACAGTTTAAAAAGATATAAATAATTTCATTTCATAAAGTAACCATGAATTGATTAAATCTGTTTTCCGTTGTGAACTTACATGTATCACAATTAGCCAAAAGTGTTACTTTTGATTTTTCGGGTACTGTCTTTATCATGCAATAACTTCCTTAAAATGCAATCAGTTTTCATAACTTTGGTATCTAAATGACTGGAATGCATTCGGTTTTATGAAACTGTGAAAAAATACTTAAGAGAAACATATTTTCCTTGTTAGAACGCAATAATTCCGACCGTGCGTTTTCATTGTCCTTAAGTATACTATTACGTCTCTTTAATTGCTGTTTTTCCAAATATAAGTCATTCGAGTGGAGACAACAGTCACATTGCTTTGGTCAGTAAACTAAGAAAACAAATGCTCTGTATATATCTTTTATTCCCCCATTGAATGAAGATCATAACAAGAATACATCGATATTAAACATATATATACACAAATGAACAAATTTACGACAATACAATAGTATGCCAAACAAACTAGTTAAATATTAATAACACTGTCCTAATTTTTTGACACTACATACATTTTCTGTCGACAATTTAATTTGTTAATGTCTATTTGCTTTTCCAAAATACAGTAACGTACTTAGAGTGATTTAGGTATTTAATTTGTACATTCTTGAAATATATTTTGTACCTCATTTTGTATTTTACCCATTTCAAACATTAACGCCATAGATGAAGGTGTCTCATAGACCAGTTTAATTGATAATGGAACATTTAAATCAAAGTGTATGATATTTTTATATACATTTAAAAACAGTAAATGTTGTGTTCATCACCTTATTGTCGTTCCTTGGAAGATTGATTGCATATAATGTGTAAGTAATTTAATATACATAAATATTGTAAGTAAACAGAATAAATTGTTCTTCAGCGATTATTATTGGTTTGACGATGATCTGAATCATGCTTGCTCGCTTTCAGGCAGATTCCTTTCATTCAATGTATTCTGTAATCATTATAATCACTATATGAAAATAGTTTTACAATACAGGGGTCACTTGATTTATATAAACTTGGAAAGATAATTCGATTCGAACCAGTCCATAAAAAATAATATTTTGAAAAGTGAACAAAATAAAGCCTTTGGTATCAAACATTTCAAAGTTTATAAAGGGTACATTCCTTTTGAAATTCCCGTCGAATAAAGTACACACTGTTTCTAAGAATTAACAGAATCTTCAAAATAAGCTGATAACCTGTGTTTATTTTATCATTTAAAACTTTGATATAAAGCTGTATTTCATGCGCGAGAAAGAAGTCGGAGAACTTTTTTTGCGACACAAATTCTAGAAAATACATATTATATGTTATTTTGGTTTTGGAGTGATATATGTGGATATATAACCTGTCAAGATTTTATATTACCCGAGCCGTTAGGCGAGGGTGATATTTTATCTTGGCAGGTAACATATCCACATATATCACTCCAAAACCAAAATAATAATTTTATTACCCTTCACCTGCCGAGTTAAGACGATTTAAAAATAAATCATTGCTACTTCAAATGAAACGTCGAAATAAGATTCCTTTAGGGTACCCCTTCACCACAATATGACGTCACATAAATACATGACGTAGTTTCTTTCGAACCTAACAAATGTAAACAAGAGAAAAGGAGTAGTCTGTTGAACGCACTTTTTTGGAATTATATCAAGCTTTCACAAGGTCATATTTGTTTTCAATACTGATGAGAATATGTATCATTACTCTTATTTGGTAAATATTTATCATTTGACAGTTAAAAAGTGCTTGTAAATAGGAATTTACATCGCGTGAAATCAAACCGTATGCTCATCGCCACAGCGCATGTTGTTTACAACGTGGGGTATCCAACGGGGAAATTTAGTTTGTATAATACCCGTCTGGCTCGGTATTATCAATTTCATGCAGGTGATCAATATCCAATCAAAAAGGCGGAAAAAATCTGGAAGGGTAATAAAATAGTATGTTTAAGTTAAACTTCGTTTTCTAAATGACCACTGAATGACGTCCATGATTCTACGCGACCGGATATTTCACTGCTGCAGTTATCTATTTTCACAACATCTCCAACCTTCAGATTTAAAAACACCGACGTCGAAACTCCGTAACTTCCGTTGTCTGCACCATTGGTCCCATCCTGTGGATCTATATAAGCTTGCACTTTATTTGATCCGTTCAGATTAATGTGACATCCGACAGTGTCGACACTAGATGACCGCTTTTTGATGATGTGTAAGGAAAAGTAGTAGAGCCCACTTACAGGGCATGTAAACTTACCAGTCGATTTATCAAACCCGTTACCTTCGTTTGTAATGACCGTTGTAAAAGACATAGATGTTGATGTATCACCCGCCGTAGGATTGGTCCCTGTGAATGCCACAATTTTCCCTAAAAACGACAGAATGGTTAGATTTAAGTTTTTAAAACTGATGAAAATGTGCATTTAGATGAATGTTTTCTTATAACATGCATTATTTAAAAGTTTCATTTGAGAAATATAATCATATAGATATAATAGTGCACAAGACGAAATGCATAAAATTTGACATCATGGTAGGTATTGATGTAACTACATGTTTTCTGTTTTTAATTTCAAAGTTATTTTATCTCAAATATTTGATGCCTATACGACGTGACTTTAGTCATCTGCGTATGACTTAAAACCAATTCAAAAGGCTGTTGTTCAGGTAGTAATTTCCTCTCATCAAATAGTGTTTGCGAGGGAAATAAGTCATATCTTAGTTAAGTGTAACCGTAAGTATGAACATACGGAAATTCACACAATTTCACTTAGCGGAAGGATATCACCTTTTTCCCGAAAAAAATCCTATGTGGGTTTAATAACTAGAATAAAATACCTCTACAATTGATAATGGAACATTGAGAAAGTAACTTTAGAAAATACTATCGTCTTTTGAATTGGTTTTCTGCCACACAGATTGTGTTATGTAGCGAGTAATATAAAGTACTAGCGTTGCGAGTACAATAAAGTACTAGCGTTGTGTATTTACACAGTTTTTTTTTAAGTTCACTCTAGACCTCTTAGCCTTCTCTCCGCTAATGACCGTTCTGTCATGAGTATATATAGAGATATTAATTGATAACTAGATAAACCACATTTTTCAGTTATATCATACACCTGCATTTTGTTTATGCCATACGTTAATAATGATACTAATAATAGACTGAAATTTACAGTGATGATTTGTTGTGATATATTCATAATGAAATATTCGAGTACAACAATTCAAGTATTGAATGTAAATATTAAATAAATTACAATGTAAGCTAATTTATACATGGACATCAAATACCAATCAAGTGCAACATGATGCTTAGATTCAAATTCAAATGTCAAAATCGACTTGCATCAGTTCCAGTATAAACAACATACACCTTATATATATAGACATGTATAACAACTATTAAAATAGATAGTACATGTATGTATCTATAGAAGTTAAAAATAACTGTAGCACATATGGTTAAAATGTATCAATTAACTGATTAAATTAATTAATACATTAACATAAAAGTTTGGTCTCCAAGTTGACTATGTTACAAATGCAAAAAGTCACGTAGTATAGTTACCTTGATGATAATAATAAATAAATTATTGATAATAATTTTGATAAAATCAGCCAACCAGTTTGTAAGCAGACGTAAACGTTATACATCAAGAGGCAGTATACAGTTTCATTTGGCAAGTTTAGAATTTGCAATGGTCAAATTTACACATGAGAGACAGTTCTGCAATTGAAGTTGATATTTGAGCTTCATAATATTGAAGTTGCTATATTTTTGGTTTCCCTTGCTAGTGCTGTGTTTTAGTTATTTAGCCAAATTGATTTCAGAGAGTACTTGTTAGATTCGAATATATTTTTCATGTAGATTCCTCTAAAATAAAGGGTATGAAGAGGCTTAAAATAGTGAAGGAAAAGGCTCAAGGACTCCTTTCTCTTGTTATTTTCAGATTGTATAATGTGATTGAGAAGGAAAGTTCAGTGAAGACTAAAATACATAGAAGACAACAGTCAAAATGAAAAAAAATGTTAGGCGTGTATTACATGTATTAATGGTTTTAGAAAAACATGATAGATTGCCGTTAAGTATATTGTTCACGACAAACAGCATCAGCTGTTTTTGTACACGTCTTATCTTTATGTAGATATCCTTAAAAGAACAGTGTTATTTAATTCAATTTTGAAGTCACTAGACAAGTAGGTCGAATATATTGGGTCACAGAAACAAAACATGTACTGTTTAAGTATGGTTTTGGTTTTGTTTGGAAATTTCAGAAATTTGGTGACATCAATAATTATAGGCAGACACAATTATAGCCCGAAAAGAGACTTGTCATGATTACATAGGGGTTCCATGCTTTCTTTATAATTGTGTCAAAAATACAATCATATTCGCAAAATTATTGATTCAATTGGTAATTTGGCGGAAAAGAATTGCATAATTTTATATATTGATAAGTACACGTGATATAATCTCATTAAGGAAGCTTGTCCTTTATGTACATGTTTTAATGGACAATATAAACAATAAGTGTTTGTTAACAATTATAAACATTGTAAAGGCGACGAACCATATTAAAAATGGTGTATGGATATAGGGCCTTATGCCTTAGAACACAAAATTTCTTTTTTAATCTGAATCTTGTCAAACATGCATTGATTTCCGGTGTGTGATAACAGACTACAGACATATTTTCATGTTTAAATGTTGAATTTTGCTTAAGCCTGTGCTAGGTGGGCAGGGACGAAAACTTGCATTTCTCAGTGCTGATCATGAACAGGCTCAATCAAACCGAGCCTGCAATATTTTCAATTTGGTCGTTTTATGCTTTCTTTAGGGATTCTGTTTTTTTCTATTGTATGCGAGGTTTTGATTGTGCTGATGTCATTTGTTTGTCGAGAAGTTCGGAAAACTGTATACTGCTACCTCATGTATAACATACAGAAACATATAAGGCGTGTTAATTGTTTACAATTCTACCTTTCTTTGGCAATTAAAATTACTTATATACAAAAAAGCAACAGAAGATATTGCACAATTTTAGCTCGTACAATAAATTAATGCGTTTTTTCCAGGTTTAAACATTATTCTTCAGAATATTGTTGACGTTTATATATCTTTTATAGAAGATAGATTTAATATAAAAATGTTATTTTTGCAGCAATTGCCTTAGTAGAATTTGCTAAGCTAGACCATTTGTATTAAGACAATATTACTTATTTGCAATAACAAGAATAAGTAAAGATAAATTTAATATAAAAATGTTATTTTTCCAGCATTTGTTTTAGTAGGATTTGCTAAGCTACACGACCATTTTACTTACATGTATTTACAGTAACAATAATTATGTGATATGCATTTCTGTAATACTTTATGTGAAACTGACCTTTCATTCTCTCGTTTATTTGTTGATGGACGTTTTCAAACTCCGTCTTAGAATTCTCAACACTTTCGAGCATTTCTGACGTCACATTTTTCTGTCGTTCAACTTCTTCCGCATTCTCTTGTTTGTATTTCTCTAAATTGTGTAACTCTGCGGCAAACAACTTAGAGCGTTCTTCTCCTTCCTTTTCTTCTTTCAACTTCAGTTCTTTTTTAACTTTCTCTAATTCTGCGGCAAATAATTCATCACGTTCCTCCTTTTCCTTGGCTTCTCGCGCCTTAACTCCGTTAATAAAATCCTCGAATTTCTGAACTTTGTCTTCAAATCTTAATTGTTTCATTAACATTTTCTCGTCATAGTCAAACCTCGAAAAACATTTAGGTTCACCAGCTTCTCCGTTGACAACGGAAAGACACAGTATCACGACGGAATAATATTTCAACAACATGTTAACTTGTTACACCAGTTGTGAAATATTTGCATACACTTATTCAAGAGTAATATTGCATCAAGTGACTGCTAACCTTGTATTTGCTCGCTAATATAATTACGAGAAAATAACGAGAATAAAATGTTTTTCCTTAAGATTGTGGTGGGTTGTTCATGATGTTCAGGAGAAAATGAAAAGATTCAAATGGTTTTGAGCAAACATCACTTTATAAACCTTGACATGAAGTTGTATTTGTACGCTTGTGTTGAGTGGCAGCATGGCCGAGTGGTTAACGCGTCGAACTAGAAATCTGCTGTTTAAGAGAAGTTTGAAAGATTTTAAAGGCTTTTAGCAAACATCACTCTTTAAACCTCACATATAAATTTGTAACCATACACTTCATGTGAGCGGCGGCATGGCTGAGTGGTTAACGCGTCGGACTAGATATCTGAGGATTGCTGGCCACGTGGGTTCAAATCACGTGAGTGATTTGCACACTTTACACTTATTGCTTAGTTTTAGTTGGTTCCAGGAACGGATTCGTGTGTTTATATAACCTTTTAGCTTTCAACACAATAAAATAAATTGGCATGAACTAACCATGCTTGAATTTAACACCTTCCATATTTGACATACGGACGCACACACACACGCACGCACGCACGCACACACGCAAACACGCACACACAAGCGTACGCACACATACACACATGTTTCTAATGAAACAAAAAAGAAATGCATGATTCTAATTAATAAACCTGGATATTTGTTTGATTTTACCACGGAAATTTATTTAAGAATTCCTTCCTTCCCTTCTTTAAAGTTTGATCTTTTGATCAGATGATAGACTGAGGTAATCAAATGGATATAACTCAAACATACCATTACTTTTTCATCAACCCTCTTTATTTATGTTTCATTCTTATGTTTATCTAGTGAAACCATGCCTACGTTTTTTTAATATAAATGCCATCCGTTTTTGATTCAATAAAGCTTTAAATTTCATTTTCTTCGAAACCCGGACATAAGGGTCGTTATTCCATGAATTTCGTGATAAATGATTATCGACATGAGAAGAATAAGCTACATCCGGTTGTACTGAAATAACGAAACCCGGACATTATAGTTATGAATTTCCTTCATCCGGTTGCATGAAGTAAGGCTTAAACTCCTCAGCACTTTGAATGTGTTAAAAAGCAAATTAAGAGAAATATTTGAGAACATGTGTGTATGTTACATTTTTGATTTTTGTTATTATATTGATGTTATAACAATATCATAACAATGTTTGTGTACAGCTAAATAAGTCAGTGAATGAGTGGCTAATATTACAGCTCTGAACTTGTGGCCCTTACACTATAGGAGATTACTCTTAATATATAAACAAAGAAGACCGGAAACGTGATATATTTCACAATAATACCGTTGTTATTTCCTCCGACACTTGACGATCATTCTAGATAATTTTAAGAAATTTTCAACACAAAGTTGTTTTTTATTTATCAGATTTTTCAAACAAAATCGCGCTGTAAAAATGTTTAATGATGTAATTTTCAAGGACATTTTGTTTTCCCCTTAATTTAATATAACACAGGACGGGATTTCAACAACTTCAACAACTTCAAGCGTCTTACGCACACATCCACTACACTCAGCAATTGTCATTCAATTATAAACTTTTGTTTGGAGTGTCTGTTATATAAAACATTGATATCCATGTGATGTGGTATCTTCCTTGTTCTAATTACATCAAAGTGTTCCAATTTTTATACATATCAGCCACGACATGTTACAATAAGGAGAAATACTTGGAAACATCTTGACACTTGAAATAAAAAAAAACACAATCAAATGAATACATGTTATTATTGTTTGATTATTATGGTTAAGGAGCCCTGAAAGTGTTTCCGCTGCAAGGACACTATGTCAAGTGTCGTTTGAATTTATCTACCTTGATATTGTCTTTCTTGGTACTTAAGATCACGATTTAGTGTTTTGTCAGTGGTTAAAGGTTACTAGAACAAGTGTATCAACGCAGTTTGTATAAAAAATGGGTCATTTCTACCCATACCTTTAAACTGCGAAAAACCGACATCATTATATTGAATAATTTTATTATTTTAGTGCAGTAACAGATTGTTATTTGCTTACATACTACTGATGTGCGCACTGTCAAAGCGCGCGTCGTATAAAAAAGTGGTGTCAACTTTGACGTAACGTTTCTACGATAACGTCATTTGACCACTTTGTTGGAAATGTCATGTCACGGCTTAGTTACAGATTTTTTTGTCTATTTCCCACTTTAAATTTACAATCTATATATTTATTCGTGTCGAAAGTATGTTTAAATCATCGCTGTGATAAAGATCTGTCCAGCGTTTCAATATCATAAATAGTTTAATTACAATTTTTTGGCTACGTTCACTTGTATCTTCTAGAAACATAATATTCATTCTATGCCATGGTTAATTATTGGATTTCTGTCAATTTTTTTCGGAATCCATTTATTATTTACAAAGTTAAGAAATTTCAAGTTTTTGTATGCGTTAATTTTATATGACGGACCTAGTTGATTCAATCTTTAGTAATGCATTGTATGTACAGTTAACGTATATTTTACTATAAGAATGTTATATATTGTTGAATACAATACAGCTTTTATTTGGACTCTGGAAATAAAAACAAAGCTTAAAAGGTATGAAATCGTGATTTTATATGGATTTTTAGGACTCTAAAAGTTAAAACGAGGCTACATTGCGTATTAACTTATTATTTAAGATATATTATTTGGGCTCTAACAAGAAAACAAGGCTTGCTGGAGTACAATATTGATTATATTGATTTATTTGGAAAAAAAAAAAGAAAAAAGAAGAGACTCAAATTAAAAGATTTGGTCAAATGAATACCTACTTTAAATGGCACTTAACAAAGGACACAATCCAAAAATATTTACTACAATAATTGCAATTTATTTTCATATTTATTTCACGAAATACAAAGTGTCAGAGATGTTTAACATAACAATTGATTTTTTTGACATTATTTATTCACGATTACACTCTGTGTATTGTGGAAAAAAGACTACACAAAAGCCTGCACATATTGTGTATACACATTTTCTTCAGAGGTAAACATTGCAAGATCAAACATAGAATGTGTCAAAAGCAGTGTGTGTATCTGGGTTTGTTTACCCTCGCCACCGGAAAGATACTATATAGGCGAGCAGTTTGAATTCGTGTTCAATTCATATACTCTGCATGCATAATGGATTTTCATAATCAAATGTCTTAGCTTGTTACACCCGAGGTAAGCCAAAATCATCTTTCTTGATTTGGCGCCATATGACCTATTGTGTTGATGCGCTGTAAAACCAAACCAAACAAAGCAAAATGAAAAGGCGTGCGTAAACAAAATAGATAAATCATTTTTGTTGCTCAAAGTGACCAGAAAATGAAAAAGCGTTGCAACGATTTTCACTCAAATCCGGCTAATAATTGCAAAGAAAATCAATTTTGAATTCAATGCTTAGTATATTTTTTGTTATCCTCGGCAGAGTTTATCATTTTAAGTGTTCCTCTTAATATTTTAAAGATTTTCAAATTTTATTGTTTTAGACCTTTCGACCTCAGCGAGGGTCTTTTAAAATACAAACTGACATAATTTGACGCTAAATCAAACTCCTGTCATTCTATAAATAAAAAAGTTAACAGTAGTATCTAGGTGAATTAAATGTAAATATTATTTAATAGTAAATCAAACATCAAAATTGGCAACTAGCTCGGTTATGTTTGTTTAATTTGTTTTTCGGCGCACCACTGACCATTTCATCCATGGTCTGACCATGAGTGATATAATGATTTTGTAAGACATGTTTTATTATGCGCTATAGTGCCACATTTACAAAACATTTCTTATGGCCGATATTAAGTTGAGGTCAGTGGTTGTTGTCAAATTTTCAGAATGTATAAAGACAACATATAATAAGTATGTATAGATGGTTTTAGAACATTTATAAGGAGACAACTATTAATGGTTAAGTAGAGTAATGAGATTTCATTCTTCCATTTTAATATTAACAACCCTAATGTAATTACTCATACAGTTATGTTGTAGGTATAAATAATAGTACAATTTAATCATTTTAAGCATAACATTCAATGCTTGGAATATGCTGTTTTACTTGTAAATGCCTTAGAGATATCAATTATGGTGTGTTTATATTGACATGTAAATGTGTACAATTAGTAAACAAGGGAGGTAAATCTACAGTAGATATTATAGATCTCTTTAATATGGACTGTGGAGTTGCCCCTCTAATAAACTATAACAGTGCGTTATAATTCTTAAAGAATGGCAATACAGTTTACTGTATGTATATTGTTTTAATTGTATATGTATGTATAAATCAGACGATAATAAAATGATAAATTATACAGTGCACAGGTCAAGAGTCGCCGAAACAGAAAAGATGATTTTGGCTTACTTCGGGTGTTACAAACTTCAAAGCAACACCAGGGGTCAAACGCATTATCGGTAGTGAGGCTCTCACTGACTTAACAAGTCATTCTGAATGTATCAATTTCATTGCATGCGCATTTAATTTATAATGCACTATTTGATATTCAGATACACAACTTGTATGTGAAGTTCAATATTATTACATTTTTAAAGGCCAATTATTTTTATTTCTCAAAAAGCTTTTGGTGTCTTGTTACAGTTTTGAAATAATATTCATTTGCCACATATTGCTTCCTTCGTTATGCTCGCAATTGGTATAATTATAGTGAATTAGTATTTTGTGCTGAAGTCAATATAATAATTAGTTTATATTTTGCTACATTTATGACACACCACTTCTCGTTTAGCGCTACTATTTTCATACATGCACAAAATCCTTAATTAAAACATAATTTAACACATGCTTGGCATTGCTAAACAATTAAAACTACGAATATCTGTGGCATACTGTGCCTTTAAGAATATACAATTTAGTCATATCATATTTTCGCATAGTAAAATCGATCGCAACAATTTTTTGTTTAATTTACTTTCCTCTTATGCTAATTGTAAAATGAATGAAGCTTATATTATATAAGTATTTTATATATCATAGCTACTTCTTTAACTACACGC